TGTGTGTGTGTGTGTGTGTGTGTGTGTGTGTGTGTGTGTGTGTGTGTGTGTTATTGTTCATTGTTCAGTCTGTTGTGTGGCTGATGATGATTTTTATTTGTCAGAGAGGCAGAAAACATATTTTGGATAATAAACTGCATTTGGTAGCAAAATTGTTTCTTTTTGAATCAGCTTTAAAATAAATTCTTACATATAGCTCATTTTTAAGATTGTGACTCTTGGAGCTTACAGTGACTCTTGGAGCTTACAGTGACCCTCGCAGTTGACAAGCCTAACAACGTGTAAGGAGACGGTTGGCATTTAACCTAGTCACTGTCCTGGAAACCGGCTCCTAATGTGGGCTGTGTAGTTTATTCTTTCATAATTTATACAATAACCACATAGAACAAGTAATAATGATAATAAAAAAACTGTTTTCCAGATGCATCCATCCATCATCATATATGTTTTATTTTTGTATAAAGGAAAAAGTAAATAAAAATATGATGAAGGATGCATCCATCCATAATTAAGACTGGATGCCAGTTAAAGAGTACAACTGGGAACGGTTTACAGCTGGGCTGCCCTCTGTGTTCCAAATTCACCACCACACGTGCAAGGACCATGTGCAGACATCTGGAGTCCCACATCAAAAATGCAGTTTATTTCCAAGGTAAGCTGATGACAAGAGGAAATAAATGTGGGCCTCTTTTGATTAACAGCGTTGCATTTACCGTACATTTAAAGGTCAACAGTTTTACTTACTCTTACCAACTCTGATTTGGAGTCAGTCGATCAGCTTCAGAAGAAAGCTAGAGTTACTTTGAAAGAAACATGATTTTTAAATATTTATGCCATCGCATCACTGAGTAAAATCACAGCTGGACAGCTAAATTCCTAACTGTGATGTATGGCTGTCCCTTGCAGATACAAACATTTGCAGATGCAACCTGCCTTGCCGAGACACGGGTCATTACCACTGCCCGCACTGTGAGAAAACAATCATGCGCAAAGAGGATATGACATTACCCGTAACTGGATGTCGAAACACATGTGATACAGTGCCACCTTCGGCAGAAATCGGGGCACCATCGTCATCATCCTTTTTCACTCCCTGTGCTCCCCAGCAGAGGTCAGCGCAGCCTCCTTTGTAACCTTCCCACATCAGCTGGAGAGGACTCTGTAATGTCAGACCATTGTTGCACACTTGTTGACACTCCGCCATCCTGTCAGCCAAACTCGGCTCCCCCTCCAGACGCCTGTAAACCACCTGCCGAGGCGGCACAGTCTGAAGCCACAGAGCTGATCTCTTCACGTGTGATGTATTTAAAGTCAGTGAAGTGCCCTCACTGCGCCGTCGTTCTCTACAAAAAGAACTTATTGGTCCACATACAAAGAAAACATTAAAGCTGCATCTCATAGTAAAAGCAAAGGTGTTAGTAAAGCTTATGGCCTCTTTGACTTCCCGAAAGGCATTCATGTGTGACTTGGACGACTGAGCTGCCTCAAAACAACAGTGGATCATTGACAGTATGTGGAGAAAAACACAGTAGAAAATTTGCTGACACATATGTATTCCACACTGAATTGATTATATTTTGGTCTTTATATTATAATTTCTTGTTTAGAGGGAATTCAACATATTTTTTTGCACTTTATTAAATGAGCTTTGTTTGGTTCACAGTTCCATATGTGTTTAGGTCTCCTCTGCCTCCATGTAACCTCTTCTGATTGGTTGCCTATCACAAGCATAAGGCTTGAACAGCAGATGGATGGAGCTTCTTTGTGGCTGAGATGATCATATTTGGGATATCCACTCTCACTGGCATCATACAGATCCAAAAGTTTAGAAGATTGCCTGAAACTGAGTGTTCAAGTGAATTATTCAGTGGTCAAAGATCACAACATTTTGACAATACCTGAAATATTTATGTACCAAGTCTTATAAAATTTCACTTAAAAGGGAAACCAGGTTAAATGTGTCAATATTCAGAATAGAGAAAAAAAAATCTGGAAAGTTTTCAGCTTTACGTCTCAGGAACAGGTGGTCAAATTTTGAGAGTGTGTTGGTTTAGGCCGAGGCAGAAGTCCTAAAAAAACTAACTCTGTGGAGCAGAGCAGGCCCATGCATATCTTTGTAGTTGCAATCATGTATTTGCAGTTTCCCTTTCAAAGCAGGAGAGCCACAATACAAGGGGCATCAAGATGATCAGTATTTTATTTATTTTAAAGTGAGTGAGGGAATGAATTTGCAGTGTGTAGCATTTCTGTCAGAAATCGGTCCATAATGAACACAGGTGCAGTAATTGCACTCTGCAGTAAGCCACTTTCATTTAGTTTTTTTCTTCTTCTCTCATCTGAAATTTGACTGTTATTTTATGAAACCTTTATTAAATCTTTTTCAAACTGCCACAATTACTGGGACTTGGAACAATCGGAAGTTTCTAAGATGAATTTTTGAATCTTCCAGTATATAAGTCTGACTTTAATAAATGCCTATATTTCAGAGGCTATACTCCTTCACTTTTACTTGTCTAATAAAGTTGAATCGTTGATTCAACTCTTGCCAAAGTATCTGTACGTCTGCTAAAGTGACAAGTGTGTTTACTTGTGCCATTAATTATTTTTTGATATTAATAGTTCTTTATGTAATTCCCTCTGGGATTAATAAAGTGTTCTGATTCTGATTATTTACTGTTGGAACAGCAGCATCCTGTGGGTTGTGGATTATACGAGTCAGACATTTTTCTCAGCCACTTTCAGCTGTTTTTTTATTGCATGAAATAACCAATACAACATATGCACTCAATTTTTACAAAATTTTGCTAGAATTCAAGTTTATATTTATCTGCTTTTTATTATTTAAAATACGCCAACACTGGATTCATGCGATCCTGAGTCGGTGAAATGTTGAAAACGACTTCAACCAAGAGGTGGCGCCCTGCTACATCACACACCTTCAGTGGCTTCAGTTAAACTTTGCCCGGTGCTCAGCGAGGGTTCAATCTGTCGTCTTCAACCAAATAAAGGATCACATTGTGTAAGGATTAACTTTATTAACACCCACACAAAGATCCACTCCCTCACACAACCAGGAGGCTGTGTTTCCACACTCCTCTCGGAGGAAGACGCGCCCCCGGCTTCGCTGGAAGAGGGGAAGCCCTTCAGACGGACCACTTGATGGGATGCAGAGAGGAGAGAGGAGCTGCTGCCGTGGCTGTGCGTGATGTTCGAGTCGTCCATCAGGGTTTCAGCGCAACACGCCTGTAGCTGACATCGCAGGTAAGGTGATGTGTTCTAAATATGGACTGCGTGTTTGTGCTTCAAAACGCACCTTCACTTAACTTTTAGGAGGTGTTCCCGTGTTTGTTTGTTTGTTTTTTCAATTATAGCCACTTTGTTTTGGTCCGAGTCGTAGAATAATGCTTTTAATGTGTTTTTATGGTGAACAGTGGCCAGATTTAAGCACTGCAGGTGGTCACGGACTTATGTGACCCAGTGCTATCCAATCACATTCAGAAAGTCGACCATACACCAAAAAGTGTTTAGAATATTTAATTAGTTTGATTTTGGTAATTATTGAATTACATTTGAATATTTAACAGTACTGAGTTTGGAGAATTAAAATTTTACACAATAAGCCCCCAAATCACCCCCCCCACCACCCCCACCCCAGTGTGTGGTCAGCTGCAGCTCTAATTTAGCTCAGATATTTTCTGCTCAAATGAGGGAGAATGGAGACCGTTATTTCAGAGGAAGCTCTGCTCCCAGAGAGGATGTAGCAACTCACATTGCTGGTCAGTGAGATCATCCTTGTTCTCCAGATTTAAATCTTCTTAAAGGCGTAACTCAGAAGATCTGCAAAGGTCAGCAAGTGACTTATGTTTGTGTGTAGTGTCAGAATCCAAAGATCAGCTCATCAGCTAATGTTTGCACTGAATACTGGACATAGACTGACTGACACCTCAAACAAGGCATGTCAGTCAGATGCTGCTCAGCAGGGACCCTATAACCTTTTCACTGCCCCTGTTATCAGGGCGAGATGGGAGTTTGACATTTCAGACATGCAGTTATCTTAACGAGCGACTGCATGAACTTAGTTGCACATATACAAGAGCTGTCCAGACTTGGCTCCTGCTCGGGTGTGAACATTTGAACCAAAGTGTCCAACTCCAGGCAAATTATTTCCTTCACGCATTTTCCTTTTCCGTGTTCAGAGGGATGTTCCTGGGTCTTGATAGCCATCAGTTAGAACAAAGATTTCTCACAGGGCTGTGCAACATGCAAATGAAATGGTGCATATTATAAATAAACAGAGCACTATACAGGCTCTGTTCAAATGATGACATATGAACATCCACTGGTAGATCTTAAATTGGTGATTGCTGTCTTGCTGTCCGTATTTTTTGAGGATTTATCAATAAATGTCTGCTTTTTAATCCGGACCTAACGTGCTCTCTGTCTGTTTCTGTCATACATATACGATTAGAAGACTGGATTTTAATATTAAACATGAGCGGAGTGTTAAAAACTGATGTCAGAGTAAGTGTAAGTATTATGCCTGTGAGCCAAAAAGCTCAGTGTTTTTAAAGACAGTTTTTCCTGCTCTTGGCTCCGTATAATAATAATAATAATATAGTCATCCACCCAAACAATGATCTGGCTGTGAGGTCAGAAGCACCAACTGCCTGCTGTGAAACCTTCTGTTTGTGAAGAGCAGCCAATCAGAAGCAATTTGCCTTAAAGGCAATGATTTGTTTCAGAACCAAGGAGCTGTATCGAGCCTCGGTATAATAAAAAAAGAAAGAATTATAGAGAATGATAAGTCCCCTTTAATGACGCTTTACTCCATATATCAACTAATCAGCATCCCAGCACAAGTGAATGTCACATGTTCAGTACTCTGCAACAGATTTAGATGTTTAGTTTCCAGCAGGGAGACCTTCAAGTTCCCAGATTCGTCCTGAATAAATATGAGAAAATAAAAATATGGAGATGGAAGTGATCATATTTTATTCAGATTTTGTTCCTCTGAAGTGGAAACATGCCTGTTCGTCATCCCAGGAATGCTCGCGACAGAAGGAGCAAATGACTGATATAACTGTTTTCACCCCTCACTTTTAGTGTCTTTCAGCTCATCTTTTGTTTTCTGGCCAGCGTTGGTTCACTCTCACTGTTCTCCTGAGTGTTAAAAAGCTATGTAAACTGTCTGTGGACTGCTGGCTTCGCACCAAACTGCAGACACAAAGTTAGAAACCAGCTGGTGAACACACTGGAGCACGTAGCTGCTAAAGAGGACAGATATTTGTCTCAGGAGTTTGCACAAACCAAACCAAAACAAGAATGATGTAAATGACTTTACATTTATCAGGTGTCCAGAAACTCGTCTCCAGTGACTGTTGCTCTGTTGCCATACCAGCCATCACGTCCAATATGACAGCTAAAGCTAGACCAGTATATCAGTAGCCGAGTGCAGATGTATCTGTTGGAAAATTATTAAGAAGATATAACAGTGCAGCCACACTGGATCAGGTTTATTAAGGGATAGTACTTTATTGTTACAGAGAACATTAACAAGGTTAATTTACGGTTTTTCAACTGTAAAATGTGTCATTCGGTCTGGATCTTGGTCAAACATTTTTTTTTTATGTAGCAGATATCATTAAAAGATCCTGCAGTGCTGTATCGTTTCTAAGCTTCTAGTTCACATTAACAGCTTGGCTCTGCTGGGAAAAATCAGCTATTCCCTGTAAAGGATGTGTTTTAATCAAAGGCACTTCATGCTAATATTAAAGAATTTAGTTTTAGTCTAAAGTGACAATTAAAATACACAATTAAAGCTGTTATGCTCTCTATGAAGCTGTTTTCACTGTCAGAAGTGCAATAAGATCCCATTTAATACAGACTTTCCCTTTAACATATACAGCCTCCTTCATACCGACCATATCTCATCCTCCCTCATACTCATACTAGAAATGTTAGATCATCTCTACAAGCGGCAGATATCAGCTCAAGGCAGATTATTTCTCTCCACTGACGCTCACTTCCTGCATTTGTTCAGGAGCCTCGCTGCTGTGCTGATATTTTAAGTCAAGGTTGAAAAAAAGCCATTTGTGCCTCTTTTATGTCCAGGAGAACATTTGGTTTTACAGAGGAGCACACTCACGATCTGGAAGAGTCTGAGAAAATTATTAAAAACGCTACACTTGAGTAAACCAGGAATTATATACATGTCTGGTTGGTTCTGGTCTGGGAATTGTGTTGTCCAACTCCAGGATGTTGGCAGTAGAGCCTCTGAGACTGCACGATTCAAGGCAAGCCTCTTTAGCTGGGACACATCCCACTGACACATCAAAGGCCCGTTCAAGGCCTTAGCCCCCCTTTTTATTTCTACCAGAATGTATTTAATCATTTAGAAAAGTATGATAAATGGAACCAGTAAACAAAACAATCAAAATTATTTAGAACACATTCACACAGAATATTCCCAGTCAGAACACGGTTATCCATATTTGAAAAGAGAAAATGAAAAGAGGAACAAACGGGCAAACACAGCAACCTGTTCATGAGCAGTTTTAATGATTTGCATTTCGCTGCTTGGGAGCGCACTGCTATCAGGGAGTGCTGTCGCTATATAGAGTGGGTTCAATATATAACCCGTTTTGATATAAGACATCAAAATAGTGAAAATACATTGAGCTTTCTGAGACTTGAAGATTTGTGTCTTGTTTTCCCCAAACAAAGGTCCAAAATCCAGAGAACAGCTTAGAAGAAAAGCAAATGTTCTTCTTTTAGAACAGGGGTCCCCAATCCCAGTCCACGCGGGCCGGTGTCCCTGCAGGTTTTAGATGTGTCCTTGATCCATCACAGCTGATTTAAATGGATAGATTACCTTCTCAACATGTCTTGAAGTTCTCCAGAGGCCTGGTAATGAACTAATCATGTGATTCAGGTGTGTTGACCCAGGGTGAGATCTAAAACCTGCAGGGACACCGGCCCTTGTGGACTGGGATTGGGGACCCCTGTTTTAGAAGGTTTCAGATAAATTCTCTATCACTTGTTTAATTCTGGCATCTGGAGTTTGGCTGAGATTAGGAATCTCTTTGGTGAGAGTGTCCTGAGCCGAGATAGGCGGGGTAGGAGAAACCAGGGATCCAAAGTAAGTAAAGTTTATTTCTGTAGCACATTTCACAGGCATAAAAGTCACAAAGCACGTACAAGAATTAACACACAATTAATATAAGACGAGAACCATGTTAAATGAAAACAAAACAAATTTAAAAGCCTGATTAAACAGAAAAGTTTCAGTCAGCTAAACAGAGTTGGAGCCGTAATCTGTTCCAGAGCCTTGGAGTCACAGACTGCAAGGCCCTAACCCCCTGGTCTTGTACAAGGAACAACTAATAGATTTTGAGCTTGTGAGCAAAGAGCAACAATAAGTTGAGATAAAAGTCACGGGGAGAACATGCACACTCTACCCAGAAGGTCCCTGCTTAGGTTTAAACCCAGGAAGAAACAGTAACTAGTTGCCAGTTGTTACCATGTGACTTTTAGTTGTGTGAAGGTTATTTGGGATAAGCCCGTCCCTACCTTAAGTTGGTTTCAAATGTTGGTTGCCATGGTTACATGAGGTCTACAGGCAGACCGCGGTGGGTCTTGCTTTTTTGTTTGATAATTTATCGCATTCCTTTTTTTGGCGGGCGAAACAAACACAGTCTCCGTCCCGGCTGGTGTCATCCTGCCCGCTTCACATGTAAGTCATTT